ATCTTTCCATTTACACTTTAATTCTGACAGTTAATTGACCAAGGAAAACTCAGGTTTTACGTACAACTAGCTATTTTATGTTACGTTAAGGGTTTGGCCGAATTTGCCTTCTGGAGATATAATGGAAGATTTGTGAAATAATGTAAAACAAAGCAAAATAAGAAATAATGTGATATACTGCACAACTACACATATTTGGGCTAATTACACTGGCGAGTCTAAAACTTTGACTATTTCAAGACATGCATCTATTATTTCTTTAAAATATAAATAATAATTAGAATTAGGCTCCAGGGCTGTCTGTCACATATAATTTTCTTTTATTGTAACGCATAGATAATAATGATAGTTGGCTTATTTATAGAAAGAATTGTTTCTAAATTAGTATAGCAGTGTTAAAGCAATTTATAAGTCTCTGCAATCCTATTTATTTCTTGACAAAGCCATTTCTCTTGCATTTTAAATGATAAATTTGCCCAGAGTCTGTTCAAAATATTAGTAATTTTGATTTAATGCAGTGCAAGTATACGAGCTATTGTTGGACTCATTAAGGTTGCTGTGGTAATCATCTAGATGGTAGGAAGGACTAGAGATGATCAATGATGTGACTGTGGTATAAGAACTTACTCATGTCAGAACTCAGAACTAGGGTCAAAATAGAGATGGCTAGACACACATCCTGTGTTCATTTTCTCTAGATTCCAAAGTTCTAGTTTTTAATCTTCAAGAAATGGCCCTGTAGGGAAAAAAAAATGATTTTTTCTTCATACCTCATAGAATCTTAGTTAGAATGGACTTCCGTAATAAAAGCAGATTACCAAGAGAAAAACAAAGAGCAGTTAACATGTATATTTTACTTATATTTAGTATGTATATTTCACACATACATGGGAGACACCCAGAGAATGAGTAGTTCTCAAAGAAGTGGTTTAAATTCCAGCTTATATAGCATCTTCAATGAAGAACAGTAAATTTTTAGGTAAGTGACAAGACAAAGGAAAAGGACTTTGAGTTTCTAGGGACAGTACCAGTAACTTATGGGAAGGCAACTAACTGGCAGTTAAAGGCCAGTTAGTAAAGCTTGTTGATATAGATTCCTCTGATGTAATCTCCCAGCCAATAAGGGTCTGCCATTTTCTTGGGTGGTTAATCTTTGTTTTCCTTGGTAGAAGGGTTGGGGGCAACATACCTTTTGTCTTTGGAAATCTAACTCCTGCTTTTAGGCAAATAGAAGGAGGGCAGAGAGCTTTCCTGCATCTGCTTCTTCTCAATTGATGTTAGCTCAACAATCTATATTTTGGGGCAGCATATTTTGCTCTCCCACATCCTGTGATTAAAATAGAACCTCTTAGCACTCCCTTTCTTAATCCCCATCCTCTGGGGGTTGGCAAACAATGGCCAGGGGGCCAAATCTGGACCTTAACCTGTTTTGATAGGGTTCATGAGGTCAGAAAGGTGTTTACGTTTTTAAATGTTTGAAAGAAAAATTTCATGACATGAAAACTATGTGAAATTCAAATTTTAGTGTCCATAAATAAAGTTTTATTAGAATATAACAATGCTTATTTGTTTGTGTTATCTATGGCTGCTTTGATGCTCTAACAGCAGAATTGAATAGTTGTCACAGAGACCATCTGGCCTGCAATGCCTAAAATATTTATGCTCTGGCCCCCTTTACAGAAAAAGTTTACTGACTCCTGATTGAAATCAATCCTAATCAACAGGACTTTGGAGCATAGAGAGAAAGGGAAGCTCTCTTGTCTGAAATGCTAATTTAGGCATATCTGATTGATCCTTCCTGCTTTTCTGACATCTTCCATAGTAAACTATCATTCTTCAACTTTGAGTCTTGCTTGGACATAAAAGGTGATGGTTTGCATCTGTGCTGTGGAATGTGGCAGACACTAGGCACCTGTGTGTTTGTTGAGGACTTGAAATGTGGCTTACTGCAAATTGAAATGTGCTGTTTAAGTGTAAAATACATACCAGATTTTGAAAAAATTCGTATCAAGAAATGTAAGAGCTCTCATTAATGTTTTTATTGATTACATGGTGAATTGATAATATTCAGGATATATTAGATTAACTCAAATATATTCTTACAATTAATTTCACCTGTTTCTTGTTACTTTTTAATGTGACTAGCAGAAAAATTAAAATTCCATATATGGCTCACACTGTATTTCTTTTGGACACTGCTACTTTGAACCCTTTCACTTCTTATTTATTTTAGAGATGGGATCTTACTCTGTCACCCAGGCTGGAGTGCAGTGGTATGATCGCAGCTCACTGCAACCTCTACCTTCCAGGTTCAAGCGATTCTCTCACCTCAGCCTCCTGGGTAGCTGGGACCACAGGTGTGCACCGCCAGGCCCAGATAAGTTTTCGGCTTTTTTGTAGATGGAAGTCTCACTATGTTGCCCAGGCTGGTCTCCAACTCCTGGGCTCAAGCAATCCTCCCCACTTGGCCTCCCAAAGTGCTGGGATTAGAGACATGAACCACTGCACCCAATCCTCCTTTAACTTCTTGACCAGTTCCCCATTTGCAAACATCTGGTGAGTCACTAGAGAAACCATAACAGGTGCTTTATCAGAGCTCACCACTATCTTGTTTCTCCATGAGCCACTCCTGCCCATATGGGTGGAAACTTGTCTTCTTAACCAAGCAGGTAGACAACAGTTTAATGGTGGACAGGTATCTCCAAATGTGTTGAGCTACCAGTAAAATTAACTATTTACTGCTGTATTTAGAAAACATGCTTTTTTTCTGAAGGGAGAAAGTTTTTTTTTTTTTTTTAAAGAATAACATTTTCCAAATTACAGCAGTTAAAAATATCAAGCTATTTTATTTACATGAATTTTCCCACTGGAGCTTCTATACTTTGTAAACTTTATAAATCACAGCATGGGATTCAGAAAAGAATGCAGGTTAGGGGTTTATTTTTACAAACTTCAACATGGCAAAATAATGGTTAAAGATTCATAGTGAAAATTTTGAATTGACTGCAGGTACCTAGAGAATGTCATTTTACCTTTGTATTATGTTTTCAAATCACAAATGGGGTAACATGCTAATTTTTATTTGATTTTTTTTTAATGGAGCAACAGAGTCTTGCTATGTTGTCTGGGCTGGACTGCAGTGGCTATTCACAGGCAAGATCATAGTGCACTGCAGCTTTGTATCCCTGGCCTCAAGTTATTCTCCTGCCTCAGCGTCCCAAGTAGCTGGGACTAAGACATAATTAAAGAAATAATTAGGGAATTGAAATATGGATTTGAATACTTACCCAGAATTCTGTTCACATAGACTAAAATAATGAAAGAATAAGAATGCTCAACATATGCCAGTGTGAGTTCAGGAAGGAGAAAATTAAAAGGATGAGGGAGAATTAAATATCAAAGAAATAGCATCAATTAAGGAAGAGCAATCAAATGATTGGCAGGAAAATCCTTACAAAAATAACACTACTATCTATAAAGACTAAAGGTGAAATAAAGATTTTCCCCAATAAAGTCTGAGAGTTCACAAACCCTTGTACTGTTCACAAACCCTTAATACTAAAGAATATATGTTTATAAGAAGGAAATTCAGACCTAAAAAGAAGGATCAGTGTCTAAGAAGCCACGTTAAGCAAAGAAAGTGGTAAACAGCTTGGCAAATTTCAATAACCAATGACCATTAAAAAACATCTTACAATAAAAAGAGTAATAATGACTATTTGGGAGGAGGGGATGGGGTCCAAAATAAAGAGGTATTAAATATTATATGACCTGTCATGGAACATTGGGGATGGGTCTATGTGGGGTTAAAGGGTTCCAAGTACCTTGAATTGTTCAGGAGCAGTCTAAACATGTGATTATACTCCAAACAGTAAAGTAGATATATGAAAATCTTTTACCAAAACAGTAGAAATATGATGTGTATCTTTCAAGTAAGTGGAAAATAGAAAAAGAGGAAAAAAGAAGCAAAGACAAAGATAGGCAGTTAGAAAACTCAAATAGTGAAAAGAACTCCACATATACCTACAGTGACAATAAATATAGGAATATATATTTGGATAGGACTGATTCAACAGTCCTTATTAAAGACAGAGCCTCTTAGGTTAGATAAAAAGACAAAATTTAACTATATGCTGTTCATAAGAGACACATATAAAGCACAAAGACACAGAAAGGTAGAAAGTGAAAGAATAATAAAAGAACAACCAAGTGACTATTTGTTGAACAAATAATTAAGTTTCCTGGATGGCGGAGACTTTTCTGTAACTCCCACCCCTTAACAGACTATTTTTTACAGCAGTTTTAGGTTCACAGCAAAATTGAGCAGAAATTACAGAGTTGCCGTGTACCCTTTCTCTCCCTTCCCATTGCCCTCCACCATCAATATCCTCACCAGTGGGGTACATTTCTTACAATAGATAAACCAACCTTGACACATCACCCAAAGTCCATATTTTATAATAGGTGCCACTCTTTGTGTTGTATGTTCTATGAGCTTTGACAAATATATAATGATAAGTATCTACCATTATAGTCAGAATATCATATATTCATACAGAATAGTTTCACTGCCCTAAAAGTTCTCTGTGTTCCACTTATTCATTGAGACTCTGTTTTACATTTCTTTTTTATTTGCCACAGAGCCATGCTTAATTTAGGGGTTTGAAAGTCTTTGCTTGGATTCAACTGTTTTACTGAATTTCTTCTGATTGAATTCACAATAATCAAAGAAAATGAAAATTTTTGTCAATTCCATATGATCTGTAATGACTATTCTGCCACGACTATCAGCAAGTACCCTAAGTTCTTTTCCAGACAATTTTCAGGAAATAGTGTTTCTTGCATAAACAGAAAATAAACCTCCTAAATTTTGTCATCAAGAACTAAGAATGCTTAGCCTACCTATAAGAAAACCTCCCACTAATGTGCTATTTGTGATAATAAAATAATTTGAATGTTCTGTGAAGGGTTATCAAATAATTTTTATTTTTATTTTTGAGGTTGTGACTATTCTTGAAAGGAATTTTACAAGCTGGAGTCCTATGTGGCAACCATCAAAGATACCTGGACAGAAAGACCATCAGCCATCCAGTTAACAATTCATCAATTGATTTAAATTAAATATTTCTATGCCATTTGTAGACATAAACTATACTGAAATCCTCTGTATTGCTTTTCTATTATGCGTAACAAATTACTGTAAAACTTTGTGACTTAAAACAACAAACATTTATTATCTCATAATTTCTGTGGATTGAGAATTTAGGAGCATCTTAGCTGTGTAGTTCTGGCTCAGGGTCTCTCATAGGATTTCAGTCAAGATGTCAATTGGGGCCACAGTCATCTGAGGGTTTGACCGTGGCTAGAAGATTCACTTACAAGATGGTTCACTCATGTGGCTATTGGCAGGAGGCCTCAGTTCCTCGCCACATGGGCTTCTCAAATTGTGGCTTGAGCGTCATGACAGCTGGCTTTCCCCAGAATGAGTGATCCAAGAGAGAGAAGACAGAAGCCACAATGTCTTTACAACTCAAGCTTTCAATGTCGTACTCCATCATTTCTGCAGTATCTTGTTGGCTGACATGTCAGCCCTATTCAGTGTTCGAGGGGAGTATAAAAGGACATGATCCAGGAGACAGAGATTATGGGGGCATCATTTCAGAGACTGGCTATCACATTCTTAGATATGGACATGAAACCAGTGTTTAGGAAGGATAGAGGAAATAGTTTTGGGAAATAAAGGAATTTAGAATCTTATCTTTATTTTCATCTTCTCCATCTTACATACTGACAATTCTTGTTGACATCAACATTTTACCTTTCCATCCATTTCTATCTTTTCTGGACTTATTATGTATGAAGCTCTTCAAAATGAAAATAGCTAGAGGTTTGTCTACTCTCACTCTTTAGAAATATTGAGTTTTTAATGGTCTCTCTGATATGAATATCTCAATATATATAAAACTTGGTTAGTATCTGTATCTTATTTAAAGTGAATACTGTCTTCCACCTCTACAACAATTACCTTCATTTTATAGGTAGCTTGTGTTAAAAACAGAAGTTATCCTTTTTTGTCAAAATTTTAGCTGTTCCAACACGATTGAGCCCATGTTAAGCAGTAGGAAAATGTTTCTTTTTTTAAATCTTATTATCGTCTAATCTCAAATTTTCCTGCAGTTCAGTGAAATTAGTGCCTTTAACATTTCCTATCCACACTAGAACCATGCTAGAAAATGCTTTTATAATATTTTTAAGGGGGTGATATATGAAAACCCTCCTATAATTGGCTAAATGGAGACATTACAGAATCTAATACTTCAGCCTTTTTCAAAGCACTGCTTCCATGGGGCAATACAAGCTTTGAAAAGTGGATGCAATTTTATGAAATTGGTGGGTTATGATGCATTAAAATCTAGAAAGTGTTCATTTCATTTCAAATAGAGGTCTTGAAAGTAATGCTCCTTACTTACAGCTGCATTATTTTAATAAAACTTTGGCGATAATTATTTTAAAACCAACATCCTGTGTTGAAATGAAAATCACAAAAAATTGATTTAGGACTTTAGAACTTAAAGCATAAAAGTTGCTAGGGTCTATTTAATATACTTAAAGAGATTTGAATTAAATAAATAGCTTCTGCCATCACCAAACCTCACTCCAGATGATCTTGTGTGGGTCCCTTGTCTCTCTGACTGCCTGCATGGTGTAATCTAGGAGAACTGCAAGTTCCCCAGGGCCTACTCACAGCCATTTTTACTTTGTTTGAATTCTTCATGGCTACCCACTCCTCTGGGTTAGAGAACAAAGGAGAGGGCATTGTTTTCAGTAGGTCACAGTTGTTTGCACCAAATGTCCCTTTGGTTTCACCAGTGTGAGGGTTCATCGCTAGAGTCCTCAATTGGAATCTGCCCATTGCTGGAACAGCAGGATCTTCTTGTGCCTTCCTAAAAGCAAGCTGGTGGGATAAACTAGGATCCACAGGAAACTGGAGCTGATGTCTTTAAAATGGCTACTCTTCTAGCTGCAGTGCTCTCCCTGGCCTGACTTAAAGATCAGCTGCTCTGCTGGGGCCCAGGGAGGAAATCCGGAGGGTTAGACTATTGTCCAGGGCACGGGGACCACAGATACCCCTTGCCTGCTGATCTCTATTACTTTCTTTGGGTCTTTTCCTGGGCTATTAGAAATATATGTATTTTTCAGATGGTAGGGCTAAGCAGGTAAGATTTGATCCCATAGCTGTTGGTGATCATTTTTGTCACAATTTGTTGGGGCAGAAGGGAGGGAGCTACTGGACAGAATAAAACCAGCATAGAAGAAGAGAGAGCTAGGAAATGGAAAGAGATTCATTTCTGGGCTTCTGCTAGATGACTATTGGATTTTCAATGAAAGAAGCCAAAAAATTCCTTCTTGGGTTTAAGTAAATTTGAACTGGGTTTTGGTCACTTGAGACCAAAAGGAATCCTTATTAAAGCAGCAATTGAGATGAAAGTATTGTCTGTAAAAACATACGTTGTCTCTTGAATTTTCAACCAATAGTGAAGGAAGAATGTAATCTGTTTTTTTTTTTTTCCATTGAGCAGTGGTTGAGAAAAACCTATGTATTTCCAAAGTGAGTCCTGACTATGGCTTTTGAGGTGCTACAAAAAGAATAGAAATGAGATAATATGTAAACATTGGAAAGACACTAAGAATGGTTTGGGAGGAAACTGGAGTAAGCAAAGACCAGCAATAATATAAAGAGGTTTGGATTGGCTTAATAGCTGAATTAAGATTGAAGAGAAAGTTAGTGAATTTAGTCCACAAATGCTTTGAGGCAATACTGAATAGGAGAAACACTTTCTCCCTGTTAAGGGAATTTCGAGAGAGCCATCTGGAGAAATGAGAACAGTGGATAAAATAAGGACCAGTTGCCTGGGTCAGTTTTAGAATGTGAATTGTAGGGTGGGTATTGGTAGGGATAAAAGGTATTTGTCCTGTGTCCTGTTATACTATGACTTGAGACACAGCCTCAAGATTTTGTGAGCTACCATGCCAGATAGAGATTTAAGAACCACATTAAAATAAGTGAAACTTTTAAGTTCTGAGCCTGGTTTTTGCTTTTGTCTCATAGAATAACATCTCCTTAGTTTATGGTTTCTACTCACATGCTAGAACCAGTGATGTGGTAAGGCTCTTGGGACAAATATAGGGAAAACCTCTGTCTCTCCTCTGTGTTGCATTGGGGGTGGTGGTGACTGGGGCACAGAACTCTCTATATAGTGTACTTTCAATTATCCTTCCCTTTGTTGGTGAGCACTTCCATGAACTGAGTGAGAGAGAAGCTTATTTCAGGGCTCTTACTTTAGATAGTGAGTAGTGTTTTGTAGAAGCACAGGGGAGAGGAGAAGGAGGTGGCTTCAGTCCCTATGAGATGAAAATAGTCGAAGTTCAAATTTAGAGAATTCACCAATGTTACTCCCCCCACGCCTTCCTCTCCTCTGAAGCAAACGCTGACAAGTGTTTCTCGCCAGTTCCATTTATATCTACAAAATAGCCCTTTTTGTGACTTTTTCCCCCTTCAAAGCTACCCTTATACTTGGGAAAAAGAGGAGGGATTAAAGGGAAGATGATGGTAAAATTCCAGGACCTTGAAGGAAAAGATGTTTTAGCAAGGCTTTCAAATAATAGAAGCTTTGATGGCTAGTTTGGACAAAACAGGAAGTAGGATAATCCTCAGGGAAAAAGAAAGGGAAGTGAGTCATGAAGCCCAAGTGCATTTCAAGGCATCCAGTGCTGCTTGAGAGTGAGCATCAGGCATGGTTTCAGATTTTCTGGTTGGCAAATTCTCAGCCTCTGTCTCGCTGTTCAACCATGCATTCTAACATTTAAATTACTCAGAGTCACATTTAGTGGCGTAATGTGAATTAGAACAGTATATAACTGGGATTATTTCTGACTCCCATCTTAAAACCTTGCTTTTGTGTCTGAGAGAAGCGATAGATTCATAGACCAGAATATATTTATATAGAGAAATTCAACATTTGTGCTCTACCTCAAGATGTAACTTGAACTACACGGAAAAATCATATGTTTAAAAATGTCTCTCTAATAAATCCAATGTCATTCAAGGAAACAAGACCTGTTATTAGGTTGAGGCACTGGATGGCTATCATTTTCCTGGTCAAGACCTCGAGGCGTGGCAATTTAAGATTTAGCTCTGAAACAAGCAGCTCTTTCAGCTTGGAAACCTTTTCTCCCTTCTGTTGCTAGGTCCTCCAGCCCTGTTCAAGCATGGTGCATAATAGCTTCTTGTGAGGAAATGACATTTAGAGCTCTCTCGATCTGTCAGCATAATACCGTTTTAAAAATCACATGTGTGTTTGTGAGGCCGTCTCTTTCCTGAAGTCGAAACTTCTCTGCTTCCAAGGTTGAAAATATATTCAAGAAACAATTTAAAATTGACATCAGCATTTGTGTAATTATTTCTAATTTTAAATAATTGACTTCCCATGTTGAAAGTAGCTTATTTACTGAGCAAAATACAACATTAAAAACATTAAAAATAGCTGTGAATGAAAGACTTTCTCATCATATGTTGGTGCCCCATAGCATTCCTTTACAAGTCGGTTACTAAGGATGAAAATAGATAAATACTTATTGAGTGGACTCATCTGCATTTTTGCTTTCTTTCAAGTGCCTGGCAGGTAATAGATGTTCAATAAATAACTGTTAAATGTTTGAATGAATTAATGAGTGCCTGATGAATCAGACCTGCCTAATTATTTTATATTGAGCTTCGGATCAATATACAAATATTGTATCGTACTTGGAAAAAAATGTCTTTTAGTTGTCTTGAAGGGATGTCAATAATGCTATGTATGTACTTTAATTTTTTAAATTACTTTATTATGAAAATGTTCAAACATCAGCAAAGTTGAATTTTACTGTGAATATTTGTATACCACTACCTAGATTCTACCATTTATACTTTAATATACTTATTTTATCACCTATATCAACCCAACTTATTATTATCATTTTTTAAAGATACCAGAGGGGGTCTCACTGTGTTGCACAGGCTGGTCTCAAACTCTTGGCCTCAAGCGAGCCTCCTGCCTCAGCCTCCCAAAATGCTGGTATTACAATCATGAGCCACTGCACCTGGCTCATTTCGTTTTTTAATGCATTTCAAAGTAAATTGAAGACATCTGTACACTTCCTATGTACACTTCAGCATGCATATTACCAATTAGAGTTCAGTATTTGTCTAAGATTTTTATTTTGATGTAAAATTAACATACAACGAAATGCACAAATCTTAAGTATACATCCACTGTATACTTTTGACAAATACAAATCCCCATCAAGATATAGAGCATTGCCATCACTCCAGAAAGTTCATTCATGTTCCTTCCCAGGCAAACCCTGTTCCCACATCTCACTCTTCCCTTCAATAGGAAATTAATGTTCTGATTACTTTTCACTATAGATGAGATTTGCTAATTGTAGAGCTTTATATGAATGCAGTCACACAATATGTACTCTTTTATGTGAGACTTCTTTCACTCAGTATGTTTTTGAAATCCATGGATGTTGTAGTGTATATTAGTAGCTCAATTCTTCT